CAATAGAACTCCTTCCTTTTCAAAATAAAGGGGTACTCGTGACTAGCAGGACTGTAAAGAATTCACATGCGAGCTGGACACACAAGCGAGCTGGACACCCCAGAACACATAGTAGAAGCGATAGATAAATTACAACATGACATCGGAACAACAGTTGTCTATATGAGCTTTTCCTTTTAGCATAATACTTTTTATATTATGTGTAGCCTCTTTAGGGAGTTCTAGGAAATTTAATAAATCAGTGACTAAGATATATAAATTTCTAGGCTTCAACGATGTAAATTTTGATAACGTGAATGCAAGTTTTTGGTTTACTTGAAATTGATATATAATACTAAAAATGCCCATCGAAAGCTATCGGCAAATAATGAAATAAAATAAATATGTTGGTTGTTGCGATATCATGTTGTAATTTATCGCTTTTACTATGTGTCCTGGGGTGTCCAGCTCGCTTGTGTGTCCAGCTCGCATGTGAATTACGCTATTTCGTGCCATGTTCCGTACCATGCGTCAAGACGGTTCGAAACAAGGATAATCTGTGGCCTAGCCCAAACAGGCTTAGGTGGTTTCACCATCGTCTTGGCGGTGCGGCTTGAAATAGTTTCTCTGTGTAGAACATGGAAGCCAATTTCGAATATTGCTGTAGTACCGTAATTTCTTAAAGGAACTGATGGAATTATCGTGCAAACGTATCAAACAAAGGGAAGGTCCTAAAAATCTAGCGATATCCTTCTTTCATTCTCCCATGTTCTGGTCTCTTTGTCACGCGCAGTCTTCATCACACTCGTTCACATTTAATAGAAGGCTGCGGTGACGCTATAGTGAACTTATCCCGGTAGGCAACCTACTTTTTTGTACGCGTGGTTTCTTTTATCTTCTACTACAATTCTCATTTGTTACCAATGCACATAGAAATCCGGTACTTCCGAGAAGCTGATATGACTGTCATCATACTAATATTGCTTTGAATTATCAATATTGCCCTGAGCCAAAAAAAAGGGGGATTACAGCTCTCTGTGTGTACGTACGTATCTGAATCCTGGTCCTGCTGGGCCAGTCTAGACATCGATTATTCACCAAGACCACATCCCCAAAATATTTAAAACTGCGGGCACCATGACTCTCTCCTGTCCCAGCAAAATCAGACAATGTGCTCTCTGCTGAGCCGGTCGCCAGCGGCGTCATAGTAATCGACGGTACAGTGCCGGCGTCTATCGCTTCTACTGGTGTGCCAGCCGTTCCTAAAAACTCTCGTCAGCAGCCATAGGCTGAGATGAGAGATGCGAGCAATTTACACGACAGTGGCACTCGTAGCCCCGGCAGGTGCTTGGCTAATGACCAAGTTGATGACACTCGTTTTCTCACTGGGATTGTTCGAATACATATTCGACGGGTCGAAAGTAACATTGCTGGCATTCATGATGAACCAAGAATTGCGCTGTCCTTGAGAATCCAATATGGAAAATAAGCTTAGAGGAAAAACGGCTGTTGGCATAGGTAGGTCGTGTTTGAATAATGCGGTTAGGGACCATGAACTCAAATCAATTTATATTCCTTGCGCACATCAGAGCCCAGCTGCACAATGGCCATATCGTCATCTATCTGAATTTTCTATGTGATTGTGATCGGGGTGCATAAGCGCTGGAATCATGGCCCCTGTTGAAACTTGATGTGGCCAGCCACGATCTAACTGTCCACTCAATGAACGTGCTTGCTCCGGTAAGTACATTATCGAAATCACCTAGGCTCAATCCAAGGGCAGGGCGCGTATTGTAACCCGCTAGCTATGCTATATGGAATTAGGTTTTTCGTATTCTGTCGCTATCGGTTGATCAGCTTGTAAATTCGTTACTTGGCGGCTTGACCCGGGCCGCATTTAGGCCAATAACAACAGCTCAAGGTTCTTAGTCATATAGCACCGCGATGAATAAAGATAGTACGCGCCATGACGCGTGCTCCGAAACGAACTCCAAGACTTGCCCGTGTCATAGGACTATAAATGTGCCCCGGAAGCCTTGTCCCACGCTTTTTGAGAACGTCTATCCAGTTTTTCCCCAAGCTTTGGACTTCCGTATCACAATCCTTAATCCCTTACAAAACATTCCCCTTGGCAACTTTTAAACGACGCATCTCCATCGCAGTTATGAGCACTTCGTCTCCTCCCACTCCGCCATCCAGGGCCTTAATAGATGATGAACGGCGATTCAAAACCATTACATTACCTTGTGAGTGGGTGGAGGATTATCGGCCAGGTGGTTATCATCCAGTCGTTCTCGGCGACGTCTTCAACCACCAGTACAAGGTCATCCGGAAGCTTGGCGAGGGCTCCTACTCAACGGTTTGGCTCGCCCATGACCTAAAGTATGTCCATCTTTCGCATTTCTACTACCGACGCTATATATCATCGTTACTCATTTCGTTTAGTAACAGTCGATATGTCGCCCTGAAGATACTTGTGTCGGAAATCTCGGAATCGACAACTGAGCTACGAATATTACGCCATATCATCGAATACGCACCAGAAGAAGGGTCCCGATATATCACGCTACTGCTGGACGAATTCGAACACCGCGGACCCAATGGCCTCCACATGTGCCTGGTACTTGAGCCTATGGGCCCGAGTGTCAATACGATGGTCGAGGAGCTGCCCCAGTTCAAACCTCGTAGGCGAGGAATGAAGATCCGCTATCCGCTTCAGATGGCAAAGAGTATCCTTAAGCAATCCTTACAGGCTCTTGCATTTCTGCATGAAAATGGTATTGCCCATGGAGACTTCCAGCCGGGAAACATACTCTTCCCTCTTATCGATGTTGACTCGACCCCTGAGGAATTGCTACTACAAGAGGAAGATGTGCAAGCCCGGTCGATCTCGCCTCCGGTACAGAGGCTGGATGGTAAACAAGATAAATGGGCGCCTCAATATCTTTGCGTTGCGCAGCCACTGGTGCCCTTTACTTGCTACGCCGAAGGGTTCAAGGTCAAATTATCCGATATGGGCGGTGGTCAGTCCCTCCATTCCTTTTTCTTGACGAATATTAATACTCACACCTCAATTCCCTGGACAGCTTATTTCTTTACCGACCCACCAACAAAGCCCGTTACTCCACTCGGTCTTCGAGCTCCCGAGTTGATTCTTACCGGAGCCGTCAACAATACCGTTGATATCTGGAGCTTCGGTTGCCTTATTTTTGAGCTAATTACCGGACAGCCACTCTTCTGTATACCATGTTCCGAGATGGAAGATGACGATCATCTTCTCTCCCTCACCGCCCAGCTCGGTGCCCTCCCCGACGAGTTATTCAGGCATTGGACAACCTCGTCGCTCTACTTTACGCCCGAGAGGAAGCTCTTTAATTGTCAGCTTGGAGGAGTCGCTCCCGGGGAGGAACCGCTTATAGTGGAGCAGACGTCCATGGAAGAGTGCTTCGATCGGGCAGGCCCGGATCTCGATGAGGAGGAAGCTAAGAAAGTGAAAGCGCTTATTCGATGGATTTTGCAATATGACCCCGGGAAGAGACCTTCGCCTACGAAAATCTTATCAGATCCATGGTTTTGCGAGATTGACGTTGAGGACGACCCATCTAAGATATCTATAGTCTAGTATCTTGCGTGGCTATGAGGAAGATATCTAAGTAGGCTGCATATCGTTTCGACGAGAGGACAGCGTAATGAATCACACAGACAAACATACCGTATGACCCAAACATGTTCATATAGAGTACTATTGCTGATAATTCACAGATGCCATTATAATCTCCATTACACTCCTTTTCAGTCTCCAGGGCTGTTAGCGTTTCCAAACCCTTCTCCACAACCTATCAGTCAGCCGTTGGTTGAATTTCCACCTAAAAAAGGCTTCCCATTTGAGCGTGCAGTTGATTGTCTCCTGGGGCCGGCAGAATGCCGTCTGGTGGTGGCAGAGGTTGTTATTTGAGTGGCTTCATGCTGCGCTGCCAAGTATAATTCCTGGGAACTGCGGAGTTGAATGATCTTGGTCAATGGATTATGGTCGCCGTCTTCCACCCAGGAGATACACGGGAAGACATTGAGAAGATAAGGGCCATGGTCTTGTGCCACCGGTGTTGTGTTTTCACCAGCGAAAGGAAAGCGATCCCATTCATTGTCGTCGGGATCAAAAGGTTCTTCGAAATCTGTCTCGAACTTCTGTTGCGATCTCTGAGTTGGAAGCCAAAATTCGGCCGCGTTCTGAACTATTGATTTGATTTTTGTACAAAACAAATCGTGCTGCGCTTCAGGAAATAGGCCATCCGTATACGAAGACATTCTCTGGACCACGGCTCGAATCTGTGCTCCCGAGAGGATTGCAGGGTTGCATACTCTCGGCGCCTGAGGCCGCTACTCAGCGGCGCTCGGACCAAGCACTTGGTCACGGGAAAAAGGGGTTTCATATTGGATAAGCGAGGGCTTGGCATTAAATCACGTGATGATACAATAATCACTCGGCATGAAAGAACCACAACGACGAATGCTCACGTGAGCATCCCTAGGCGGTCAAATATCCTAGCGCATGAACTTGCTTGTAACCGTGCCAAGCGCCCAACCACCCATCCTGGGTAGTTGGTGCGCCCCACCAAGCGCAAAATTTCCAATTTATC